TTATCTCAGCTTGGGAGATTTAGGATTTGAGTTTGACTAAAGAAAAGAAGACAGATGTGAGGCAGGTGGGTGAGTGAATGGGTGATAAATATGTGACAGATGGCAAACAGATGATAGTTGATAAAAAGATGTTGATGACATATAAATAGATATGTAGATACATAGATAGATGATAGATAGATGCATAGATAGATGATAGATACATAGTTACGTAGATGCATAGATACATACATAGATGATAGATACATAGATACATATATGATAGATGCATAGATGCATAGATACATAGATAGTTACATAGATGATAGATACATAGATGCATAGATAGATACATAGATACAATAGATACATAGATACAATAGATGATAGATAGATACATAGGTGCATAGATAGATGATAGATACATAGATGTATAGATAGATACATAGATATAGATACATACACAGATGATAGACACATAGATACATGGATAGAACATATGGGAAGGGAAGGGGGACAGGACATAACAGCAGAAGGATCCACTCTGTCACAGACAAACTTCCTTCAGGACTTTTTGAGTGATAGAAATAAAAATTCAGACCATTTTGCCTAGTACACAATAATGCCTAGGCACAGCGATGAGTCAGGCTGGTTTTATAGGCCATGTGGTATAACCCACAGAGGTAGGTAGAGATGGTCCAGTGAGATCCTAGATACAAAACTGCAGTCGTTTTAGTATGAAGCTTCTTCAGCTGTGCATTTTAAAGTTAGCTCACATTACTAACTCAGCATCCCAAAGGACACCCCATTATTTTTCTCAAGTACCAACATGGTGGCTCCCATCTATCTGTAACTCCAGCTCCGGGGGAACCTGGTGCCCTCTTCTGGCCTCCTAGGGTACCAACTGCATGTCAAAACACCAACACACGGGAAATTTTAAAAGTCTTTAAAATTTATGAAACACGAGAAATAGGTAAGTGCACAATCGGTGTTTCTTTCTCAGTGATTGGTAGAGGAAGCACACAGGGAACTGGGAAAGTTATAATGGGCCTTCAGCTGTAGAAAAAGCAAGTTAAGGGACCACACAGTCCCCTCCGTAGCACCCTTGTGAAATGCCAGGAGCTGTCTCATGGCACGATCTTGGCTACTAGCCAAGGAAGACGATAATTACTAACTAACCAGAGCATCTGCTGTTCAGCCTACCTCAGCCACTTAGTGCCTGCGTTTCCTTGAACAGGGCACAAGCCTCTTTGGCCCTCAGTATTCTTACTCCTAAAGTGGGCATAATGGTGGCCCTTTCTACCCTCTGTAAATATCACCAGGAAGAGGAAACTAGAGGATATATATAAAGGTGCATTATGCCGGATCGCCCCTGTGTGGTGGCGTAGACCTGTGGCTTGGCTCTACCATACTGGTCTTTCTTCGGGACTGGTAAGAAGCAGTGCTTACATGGTCCCTAGAACCACGTGAGCACTGACTGAGACTTCACGGGTTGCACTCCACCTCAGTAAAGTGCTCTCCCTCGAGCACAATCACCAGGGCACAAAACAAATTTATGTGCATTGTGAAACAGCCCGTCTGCTATGCGCGACAACAAATTAAGCCCGGGTGACTATTCCTGTAAAACATGTCCTGCGCACAGCACTACTATTACGGGGTGGATAGACCTGGTGAAGAATCAATTAAAAACTCTGACACACGAACTGGAGAGCCCGATGCAAGACCTGTTTTGCAGGTCTACCCAGAAGAAAATAATCCTGGGACATTAGCGCTTGGAAGCCGATGGAGGCGAGACTCCTGACACAGGCCCCCAGGTTTGCAAGACAAACCTGCGCCTTTGCGAAGCTCTAGTTAAAGGATTAACCCGCCGGGCCAGCTGCAGCATGGTGGAGCAAGAGGGGTCACCGCCACGTGGGACGCCCGAGGACAACCGTGAGTCCCCTTGAGAAGTGGAGGGAACGGGGAAGTGTGTGCGTCTTTAAGATTGCTCCCAGAAGCGTCTGTTTTCGTCCTCGAGGCTCCTGTGAAAAAGGAGATCTGGGACTCAAGGACAGTCTTTTAAAGATTGTGTTGCAGGAAAGAGCCTCCCCACCCCGAGAATAAAGGGAGGGGTTAACAGTGGGCTAGGAATCGTGTCCATTCTGGAACAGCGACTCCGACATCTGTGTAAGCCGGTCTTCCCGGCCCACTGCCTCTCAAGCTGAATAAACAGGAGACAATTTGGAGTTCAGGCAGGATGGCTTCGGAAGTGGCCCATGCACATGAGCATCAGTGGGCAGCAGGAAGCTTGCCAGGCCTGGGCAAGCGAAAGCTCAGCCGTGCCTCCCCCCTCCCCCCCCCGCCCCCGCTGAGGGGCTGGAAGTATTGGGGAGTCTCTCGGCTAAGCCCTGGTTCAGAAGTGCCAGGGCAAGGTGTTAATGTCATGGTCCCAAGACATTTTGTTAGGAGAGGGAGACAGAGAAAGCTAAGGAACCAGGCATGGGACAAGACAAGGCCTGCCCACTCCTGTGCGGAGCCTCGGTACAGAGTCAGGCATTTCCACAGGAAATGCTCTCATAGGACAGGAATTCATTCCGTTCACAGTAAAAAAAAAAAAAGTTCTGGTCGTGAAATATACCCCCAACATCTTATATAGAAAGTTGATATACATACATATATATTATACAAAGTTTGATATAAAAAGAGTTCCTTTCTTAGCCAAGAGCATTACTCATTATTTTTCAAAACAGGAGTTTTCTGAATCTTTCCTAAATTAAGTTACTTTTAATTTTTTTTAAATTTATTTACCTCTGGGTGTTGGAATGGAACTCAGGGCTTCATGCAGGCAAGCCAAGCACTACTACTAATACCACTGAGCCACGCGCCCACCCCTTTAGTTGCTACCTAATTTTTTTTTAAGATGTGCACGAGCGCTTTGCCTTCATGTATCTATGCGGATCTGTGTGCCTGGTGCTTGGAAGAGGTCAGAAGAGGGTGTTAGATCCCCTGGAACTGGGGTCACAGACAGTTGTGAGCCACCACGTGGGTGCTGGGAATTGAATCCAGGTTCTCTGGCAGAGCAGTCAGCTGCTCTTAACCGCTGAGCCATCTCTCCAGCCCTACAACTTAGATCTGAAGTCCCCTCTTCTCCTCAAAAAAAAATGTATTTTCAAGTATGGATATAAACCTGTGTCTGTTAGCTTTCTTTGTGGTTGAGAGGCTCAGAGTAAGCAGGGGCCTCCGAACCGGAGTTGTGGAGGTTTGCTAGGGTTCTTGGGATGCAAACAGTCAGGCCATGCCCGGACACTGCCTCCATTCAATGCCACCACCACTCTCTCCTCATCAAGTGCTCTTCCCAACTCCACAAGGTTTCACCTATACGTTCAAATTTTCCTTAAACTTTCACTCGTTTATTTTATGTGTATGAGTGTTTTGCCTGCGTGTGTGCATATCCACCATATGCATGCCCTCAGAGGTCAGAAGAGAGTGTCAACCCCGGCCAGAACCTCTCTGCAAGGGCAGCAGTGATCCTAATCTCTGAGTCATCTTTCCAGCCCCGGTTCGTTTGTTTTTGTTTGTTTGTTTGTTTTTTAATCATGCTTCTACTGTGTAAAGCAACGAAAAGAACTGGGTATCACTGAAATATTTGGTCTTCACTTTCGGTAGAAGGATGTGATTCCCTGGTGAATTATTAAGGGCAAACCAATAGTTAAAGCCCCTCGCCCCCCTCCCGCCGCCCCCAGGAGCCCATGTTCTTCCTTTCTCTTTGTTCAAAGGAGTAGGAGAGGCTGTCCTGGCCCCATCCGCTCCCTCTTCCCATCTGGGTTATCTCCCAAATTCCAAAGCCTCACCACAGATATAGCAGCTCCTCCTTAAAGATAAAACTGTTTGTGGGCTGGGGAGGCAGCTCCATCACTGAAGTGCTTGCCAATGCCAGCAATGAAGAACAGACTTAGATCTCCAGAACACACATTAATAATAATAATAACAACAACAACAATAAGTTGTCACGGTAATGCGTGTTTGTAATCCCAGGGCTGGCAAGGCTGAGAGAGATGATTCTTGGCCTCGGTGGGCAGGCAGTCTAACCTAATTCCTGCAAGTGGGATACCATGTCTCTGAAACAAGGTGGATGGCTCCTGAGACTGGCCTATGGCTTACACACACACACACACACACACACACACACACACACACACACAGGGAGAGAGAGAGAGCGAGAGAGAGCGAGAGAGAGCGAGAGAGAGAGAGAGAGAGAGAGAGAGAGAGAGCAGGAGAGAACACAACTCTTCTAGAGACAATCCAACCCCACAAGGATTTATTGAACATCCTCTTTTGTGCAGCCCCTGTGCCAGATACTAAAGGTTGACACATTCCAGACACAACTCCTGCCCCCCAAAATATCTATATAATCTGCTGTTACTAAATATATCTCATAATTTTACTATGACATATATTCTCTTGAATACATACGTTATGGGAACAGAGAAGAGAAGCAAACAGGTTGGTGGGTCTTCCATGTGTCGGCTATAAATTAGCCTGTGAGCCAGCAAGGTTAGGTATAGATATACGCTATGTCTCAAAGAATATAAAAGAGGTGCTCAAACATGTATGTGGGCATACATATGATATTCACACTAGCCAAAAGATAGGAGTCACCCAAATGCCCATTTGTGGGTCAACAGATGAAATAAATAAAGTGTCCATGTAGAGGAATATCACTCAGCCATTAAACAGACCAAGACTCTGAGACATGCAACCATATGAATGAAATCTGGAAACATTAAGCTAAGCAATAGTGTTGTACCCAAGTTGCAAAGTCCCCAGAGACCACCAGGAACTGCAAAAGCAAGGTTTAATGATTGTTCATCCAGCCATGACAGGGACCCCGTCTGGCTAGCTGACTCAGCAGCCTCCAGAGGGAGTGAAGTTCCTTGTCTACTGCTAGGTATTAAAGACAAAAGTTACAGGATTATATCAGTAGGTACGGGTTGGTTTCTGATTGACATTTGGTAACAATTAGGAGAATTTCTCAAAGTCATATTTTGGCATGAAATGCCTATGTACCAATTATTTTCATTGGTCAGTGCTGACAGGGAATATTCTGTGGTGTCTATGGCATTGTCTTGTTACTTGCAGGTAGCCTATTGTTCATAGATTTCAATAGTTTTCAGAACTATATCCTGGAGACTACAGGGAAGGTTATGGTCCCCCCTAGAGTTTCTTTTGCAGCCAAAAGTTCCCAGGAACCAAGTATCTAGGAGGCTGAGAGGGGGCGGGATTCTGGAGTTTCTTTGTGTTAGAGGCTTATGTGTCCTTTCTGTAGCCTGTCATGGCTATTAAGGCTGAGTGAGGGTCTGGTCCCTTTATTTCTAAGTTATTAGAAGCGAAGTCCTTGGGTTTAGCTAACCCCTCTCAAATAGAAGCCAGGCTCATGTCTGGAACTGTACAGTTCCATTCATATGCAGTATCCTGGATAGGCAAAGTCACAGGTTTGTAGGTTAGTTCCTGTCAAGGTCAGAATGAGGCAGTGTCTTACAACAGGATTTCCTTGGGGGGGGGGAATGAAAATCTCCAGGAACTCGGTTACTGTCCTGTTAACACTTTTTCTTTTTGCTGTGAGAAAATAGCAATCGAGGGAAGAAAGGGTTTATGTCGGTGCACGGTGCCAGGGTCTAGTGCATCGTGGCTTGCAGGGCGTGGCAGCAGGACTGTGAGGCGGAGGTATCTGCAGCTGGGAAGCAGAGAGCATGAATGCTGACGGTTAGCTCAACTTCTCCTTTTCATTTGGTCCTAGGCCCTAACCCACATTTAGAAGGGGTCTCCACACCCCAGTTAACCCAAACTGAAACTTCCTCATAAGCATACCTAGAGGTTTGTCCCCTAAGAGATTGTAGATCATGTCAGGATGATGGTCTAGTTTTGTTTTTGTTTCTTTGTTTTGTTTTGTTTTGTTTTTTGGTTTTTCGAGACAGGGTTTCTCTGTATTGTTTTAAAGGCTGTCCTGGAACTAGCTCTTGTAGACCAGGCTGGTCTCAAACTCACAGAGATCCGCCTGCCTCTGCCTCCCGAGTGCTGGGATTAAAGGTGTGCACCACCGCTGCCCAGCGACGGTCTAGTTCTTGCAGAGCATTATAAATGAGCTAAACACCAGAGAATCCATTTATTTGACACAATGCTGGCCGGTTTCATGTCAGCTTGACACAACCTAGAGTCCCTGGAGAGGGTGGAGCCTCAGTTAAGGAAATGCCTCCATAAGATCAGGTTGTAGGCAAGCCCATGGGGCATTTTCTCTCTGGGCTGGTGGTCCTGGATTCTATAAAACAAGCAGGCTGAGCAAGCCATGATGTGCAATCCAGTAAGCAGCACCCCTCCACAACCCCTACATCAGCTCTGGCCTTCAGGTTCCTGCCCTGTTTAAGTGCCTGGCCTGACTTCCTTTAATGATGAACAGAGACGCAGAAGCAGAAGCCAAACAAACCCTTCCCTCCCCATGGTGTTTTTTGGTCATAACCTCAAGAAGATAGGCAAGGGTGGCAGGGGAGCCTCTAAAGAAACTGGGAGCGCAGACACTTGCTGGTAGCATCAGAAGAGACGACTTTGGATTTGGTCCTGAGAGAAGTGGACCAGCCAATAGAAGCCTTCAAGTAGGAGGAGGCTGGGACCAGATCTTATGGTCTGCACTGAGCATTTGAGTAGAGGGCTGACATTAGGAAGATGGATTCGTGGAAGACATATGTGGAGACTCCTGACCCAGTGAGATCATAAAACACCACCTGCCAGATCATGTTCCAGCTAAGTCACCAGAAACACTCTCTGCCAAATTCAAAATCAGAAATACTAGCTAGGATGAGGGGGAAAAAATACATTTTCAAACTTATTTTTAAAGCAACATAAGCCCATGGTTTTGCACATCCTACCAGCTTTGGCACCCAAGTTAACCTACTTCCTCTTCCTACGGAGATGGCTCATGCAAACTTGTCCCGGCACGAACACCTCACCAAAGCAGCCAGCCTGCTTCTGACAAGAACAAACAGCGGTGGCCAGAAAGCAAGCAGGGGAACTGAGATGTAGACTTAACATCAGCTTGGGTCAAGGTCGGGTCACATTAGCATGACGAGAAAACAATGCACACTGGCTGTATGACAATCGCCAGCTACGTCACATGATTGTATAGTGTTGAGCCTGAGCAAGAGGCTGCAGAGACGGCTCAGCCATTACGAGCCTTGCTCCTCTCTCAGAGGACTGGGTTCCGAGCACCCACACGGAGCAACTCACAACTGCCCGTAACTACAGCTGTAGGGAATCCGACGCCCTCTTCTGGCCTCCATCGGTACCTGCACACACATGTGCACATCACAGAATGTGAGACACACACACACACAAATAACTCTTTTTACAATTTTTTTGAATAAAGACTGATTGCCCCCATATTTGTGTAAGCACTAACATCAATTGCATCCTAATAGGACCAACCAAGTCAAACTACCAGTGGGAATTCATACCTTAGTCTTGCAATGGGTGATTTTTGTCTGCCAAGGCCCAATGGGTTTTCTGAGCTCTCAGGGATGAAACTAGAACTCCTGGGTACTCAGCTCCCACTGCTACCCAATAACAACCCCTCAGACACCCACCGAGTCGGTTTCATTTGGAATGCAAAAAAAAAAAAAAAATGACAGAGCCATGAGCAGAAGAACATCATAGTGTAGAGAAAGCTCAGCAGGCCTCCACATCCACAGCACGCCGGCCATGGGTTTCCCGGTTAGCAGGAACCTAAGGCTCCATCTGCAGATTCAAGGACCAGTCAAAAGTCTCCAGGAAAAACACGCAACTGTACTGATCACTAACAGACTTTCCCCTTGTGCTAGTAGTGTTGAAACAACACCGTGGGGTACTCATCCAGCACTGACATCCTGTTAGGTGTTCTACATATGTGGTTGTCGCACGCAAGAGCACTGTACAGGTTACACGCACATACTACCGCATGTTACACGAGGGACTTGAGCATCCAGGAGCCGTGTGTCTGGAAGGGTCCTGGAACCAACCCCTATCAATACGGAAGGCCGCCTGTGTTTTCAAAGAGCAAGAATCCAAGTGAGATCTCAGATGCCTGGCTGCAAACGCATATCCTGACCGTGTTGTGGTTTCCAAGCAGGCTGCAGGAGAATTGTTTCCTTTTGTTTTCCAAGCCATTCAGGAAACAAATCCTGCTAAGTCCTCCGTGTACTAGGGTTTGGGGTACAGACAGGAAGATGGTCCAGGCTGGTCTCTAGGGATGCTCATGTGCTCCAGGCTGAGCAGAGGAAACTAGAGAGAGGAAACCTGTCTCGCACAATGGAACTAATAATTAATAATTACAGGTCCCAGCTTCCAAGAGTGAGAGGCTTGCATACATTATCTCTTACTCTTGCAAGAAAAACCTCAAGGAGATTATTATTATTATCCCCATTTTAAAGATAAGGAAAAGTAAAACCTAAGCATAAGGAAGTTATGGGATTCAGCCAAGGCCACCCGGCTAAGTACTAGCAGAACAAAATGCAAACCAAGGCTTTGAACAAGGTGGCTCAGTTCCAGTGGCTCGCCCCCTCTGTTGGTCCTAGGGCCCCTTTCGGTGTGGCCAGAGTTAAGGTCACGGTCATTGCTTTCTTCCTTGTTTTTAAAGCTTAGTTTGTTTTTAATTATGTATATGGGTGTGGAGAAGTGCATGAGTGCAAGTGTTGTGCCCACTCGGAGAGGACCCCAAGGCTTCAAGGAGCTTAACGACACCAAATGCAACTACAAGAAGGTCCGTTTATTTCCGGAAAACCAGCTAGCTAGCTAGGACTCACCTCTGAGGGGTGAGTTGAAGCCCCTAGAGCCGCAAAAGCAAGGCGCTTTTAAAGAAAAAACGGGAGGTGTGGGGGGGGGGAGGAGTCCAGGGTTCCAAGTCCCAGCCCTGCAGGGTTCCCATGGTTACAGAGATTACTTAGCATACCAGAGGTTATCATGAGACTTGAAGGCCTTGAGAAGAGAGGAGGAGGAGTCCCGAGGCTGTAAGTCTCAGTAGGGTTCCCATAGTTACAGAGATTACTTAGCATGCTAAGTTTCTATGCAAAGTTATCTCAAGATGAAGGGCCTTGGGAAGACAATGACCACATCTGGTTAGGCAGAATCAACTGGCACATCTGTGGTCTGGGATTCCACACCAGAACACATCTTGTGACTGTGGGCTAAGGGAGCAGCTGCAGCTAAGGGAGAAGCTGAGCTTCTGATCACGTAACCCCCCTCACTTAGTTGGGGACTTTCATTTATTTATTTTTATTATGTTTCGTCACAAGTAACTGAGAGTCCAGAAGAGGGTGCTGGATCCCTCAGAAACTGGACTTATGGGTGTTTGTGAACCACTGGACATGTGCGTGTTAGCCTTTTATCAGACAGCGGTGTCTACACCCTGGATTCATAACAAAATAGCCAGGTTTTAAACATCCATGCTAAATAGCAGGGCAGGGAACTGGGGTGATTAGACACTTATAAGTAGCAGGTACTTGAAAACTGCCATTGGAGGTTGTATAGGAAATTATACGAAGTGGAAAATACCAGGAAGTTTCATGAGTTTGACTTTGACAATGCCTTCTCTTTTTTTCTCTCAAATTATTTATTTGCATGTGCACTGATGTGTTGCCTGCACATACATCTGTGTGGGGGAGGCAGCCAGGTCCCCTGGAACTGCAGTCGCAGACAGTTGTGGGTGCTGGGAATTGAACCCAGGTCCTCTGAAAAAGCAGCCTGTGCTCTGAACCACCGCACCATCTCTCCAGCCCCTTTTCAGTAAGACACCAAGTCCATAAGAAGCAAATGAGTAGCCGGGCATTGGTGGCGCACGCCTTTAATCCCAGCACTCGGGAGGCAGAGGCAGGCGGATCTCTGTGAGGTCGAGGCGAGCCTGGTCTACAGAGCAAGTTCCAGGACAGCCTCCAAAGCCCCAGAGAAACCCTGTCTCGAAAAAAAACAAAAACAAAAACAAAAAACAAAACCAAAAAAAAGAAGCAAAAGAGGAGGGGAAAATACTCACTGAACTTCATCAAAATGAAAAACGTTCAGGTTGTGCATGAATGAATACCACGACATAGTAAAGAGTCCCCACGGCCAAGAGCTACTGGTGGGGAATGGCTCAGTTGCTAAGATGCTTGCTATGCAAGCATGAGGTACCGAACCCTGAACCCTGAACCCATATAAAAAGCCAGCCGCACTGGCACACGGGTAATCCCAGCATTGGGGTGACAGAGACAGAATTCCTGGAGTTCGCTAGCCTGCCAGTCTTGGCTAGATAGGTTAGTTCCAGACTCACTGAGAGACCCTGTTTGAAAAAAACTGACTGAGCAGTTAAAAGCTCCTGCTACTTTCCAGAAGATCCAAATTCCATCCCTAGTACCCACCTTGGGAGGCTCACAAACGCCATAACTCTGGCTCCAGCGGATCTGACACCCTCTTCTGTCCTCCGTGGGTACCCGTACTCACGTAGCACATACACAGAGAGGCCCAAACACACTTAAATCAAAATAGAGGTAAATGCTGAAAAGAAGATGGAGTCCAATTAAGAAAGACTTAGCATCAACCTGTATCCTCCAGGCTCACCACAAAGAAGTACGCATACACACACAGGCGGAGGCTGTTTGTTTAAAACAAACAGAAAATAGCAACTGGTGCCAAGAGCAAGAAACTAGAACACCTTGCACACCACGGTGGGAATATAAAACGATGCAACGTCAACAAAACACAGCACAGTGGTTCCTCAAAAAGTTAAAACTGTGTAGCCAGAAGTATTGATGCATGCCTTTAATCCAAGCACTCAGGAGCAGAAGCGAGTGAATCTCTGTAGACTGTAACCTAGTCTACAGAGTGAGTTTCAGGACAGCTGGGGCTACACAGAGAAACCCTGTCTCTAAAAAAAAAAAAAATCACTAAAACGGTAATCACCATATAACCTAGTGACTCTACTTCCGTCCCAAAAGAATTGCAAGTAGAGATGTGACAACACATATACACACCCAGGCTCTTAGCAGGAATTTTCACAGCAGCCAAAGCCCATCAGCAACCCAAGTGTTCATTGGCCGTTGACCTAAGAAAGTATATAACTGTTCGATAGGCCCAAAGGAAACTCCAATTCCCCCATACTCCAAAGGCAGTCCAAATGTCCAGAAAAGAGTTCAGCCTGGACCATAGGAGGACTCCCGGTGTGGTTAGATAAACGCCAACACTCCTTCGCTTGTCCAGAGATGCAGCGTCCATCCCAGGGAGAGTGCAGGGTACAGGCACAGGGGCACTCAAGGGACTAGGAGTCTGCACACTAATAGACATCTACCAGGACCTACGAGCGTGTCCTCCCCATAGGGAAGGGGAGCAGCTACTGAAACTGTGTCACCAATTATTGTAAGCTTAACAGACTCCTAAAGTCTAAAGAGCCTCAGCCAAGAATGTCTAAGAATTGATACAGGAGGAAGTGAATTAGAATAAATCAACCAACATCACACACACACACACACACACACGTTATATTCTCACACTCTATAAACACACAAAGAGAAGAAAGAGACTGGGAGAAAACCATTAAACCTAATATATACAAAACTCACCAGCTAGTTTGCAACTGGAATTCCCATGGAGAGATCACTTTTAGACTGTAGGCACTCTCGGAACCACCGCCTGCCTCCAAATGAAGTCTACATCCAGGGCCAGACGTGGTGGCCCACACCTGTCAATTCAGCACACTAGAGGCTAAAGCAAGAGGTCGTGAGCTGGAGCCTTCTCCCTACACAGAGAGGCAGAGATAAAAAGAATTTTAGGATAGATTAATGACTAGATCAGATCCCATCCTGCAGAAGGCTCCTCTCCCAGCCAGTGACCCCCATAACTCTTGATCCATCCCCAGATGCCTAGCTCGATGCCTCATACAATGGAACCAAAGACTATGTGCTCCTCATATCTGATCTCTCATACAGGCTTTTGTCTGTGACTTATATCCTCCTTGCTGTGGACAGCAGCAGTTTGTCTTTGGTCATAGGTAGTAGTCTCCCACAGGTGAGCGTCACACTCGTACAATGCTGTTGATGGACACTCAGGTTGTTTCCACGTAGCTCTTATAAGGATGGAAAAACTGTTCACAGACATACGTGCTGGAGAGTATCTGTCTTGTGTCTATGCTGACTGGCGTTGCTTGAACAGAAAGATTTGCTTGACTTGAATACCATTCCACTGAGAATTCCAGTTGTTTCATGTATTGGCCAACACCACACAGCATCAATTGTTTGAATTACTGTAAATGATGAGGGAGGAGATACATGTAGTTTTAATTTGCATAATCCTAATGAGCAATGATAAGCACTTTTATACACTTATCATCTGAATCTCTCTTCAGTCTTTAGCCTATTTTGTTATAGGATTGATTTTTTTATTGATTTGTAGAAGGTCTTTACATATGATGTGTTCAAGGCCTTTAGCAAAGCTACATGTATATTCAGTTATTCTCTACCAAGCTGGTTTCCCTTCTTGGTTATTAGAAGGTATTTGCTTTAATGAAGCTGCTTATCAGGTGTTTTGTTAGTTTGTACTTCTGTGTATCTTTGTATTGTGAAAATTAATGTTCACTCTCAAGTTCATGCTGTTTTGTTCTAGAATCTCTTTTAAAGATTTATCTTTAGTCGTGGGGGTGGCAGGGTATGTGACCTTGACTGCTGGTACCCTCAGAGGTCAGAAGAAAGCGCCTGACCCGGGAGTTGGAATTGCAGGTATTTTGTGGCCCAAAAGGTGTGGGGTCCTGGGAATGGAGCTCAAACCCTCTACAGGAGCAGCAAGTGCTCTTAACTGATGAGCTGCGCTCCAGGCCCTCCTTTAGAATCTTTATTGTAGCAATTGCTTTTGGCTGTACACCTATAATCCAACGTGTAATCTGTGTGTGTTGTGAAGGAACCAATCCTTCCTTCCTCCTCCCTTTTTTCCTCCTCCCTTCCTCCTTCCTTCCTCTTCCCTCCTTCCTTCCTCCTTCCTTCCTCTTCCCTCCTTCCTTCCTCTTCCCTTCCTCCTCCCTTCCTCCTTCCTTCCTCCTTCCTTCCTCCTTTCTTCCTTCCTTCCTCTTCCCTCCTTCCTTCCTCCTTCCTTCCTCTTCCCTCCGTCCTTCCTCTTCCCTTCCTCCTTCCTTCCTTTCTCCTTCCTTCCTTTCTCCTTCCTTCCTCCTTCCTTCCTTCCTTCCTCCTTCCTTCCTCTTCCCTTCCTTCCTCCTTCCTTCCTCCTCCCTTTTCCTCCTTCCTTCCTCCTCCCTTTTCCTCCTTCCTTCCTCCTCCCTTTTTTCCTCATTTCTTCCTTCCTTCCTCCTTCCTTTTTCCTCCCTCCTTCCTTTTTCTCCCTCCTTCCTTTTTCCTTCCTTTCTTCTTCCCACCTCTTTTCTTTCCTAGAACCCCAACTGACTCGACTCCATTTACTGATATCTGACTGATCAGCATTTCCACTGACTCCTATTAGATAACTGGCCCAAAACCATGCACTTGCATGAGTGAGACTGTCTGGATCCTCCAACCTTTTTCAATGGTTTATCTGCTTTAATTACTTTAGGGATTTGTGTGTGTGTGTGTGTGTGTGTGTGTGTGTGTGTGTGTGTGTGTGTGTAGAGGGCACAGGTTTTTCTGGTGGTGGTGATGGTTCTTTACGCAGGGTCTCAGTTTGTAACTCTGGCTGTCCTGGAACTCACTATGTAGACCAGACTGTCTCCAAACCCACAGAGATCCACCTGCCTCTGCCTTCCCAAGTGCCTTCCCAAGTGCTGGAAGACAGGCACCAGTTAGCTTGCTTTGTTTTGTTTTGTTCTGTTTGAGCCTCACTGTGTAGCCAGTATATCCTAGAACTCTCTTTGTAAACCAGGCTGGCCTTGAACTTACAGAGAACTGCCTACTGGGATTGAAGGCGTGTGCCTCCACATGCAGGGTTAGTTTGTTTCTAATTCAAGTTTATCAATGATGACTCTCTTAGCGCTAACCTCTAATTCAAGTTTATCAATGATGACTCTCTTAGCGCTAACCTCTAATTCAAGGCGGTCCTCTTAGCGCTAACCACCTTTAGCCTTCGCTGTCCTAGCTCTTTTGCAGTTGTACAAATTTTGGACTAAACTCCCCGGTGGTCACTAAAACTAAACCGGAATTTTTGGAGTTACAGGTGGTTGTGAACTGCCTGATGTGGGTGCTGGGAATCAAACTCAGGTCCTCTGGAAGATAAGAGCCATCTCTCCAGCAGAGGGTGATTTTTTTTTTTAAGAATTAAAGCAGTGGGGACCCATGCAACAAGCATGACCAGAGGCAACCATTTAAGACTAAACTGTCTTTTTCTCACTTTACACAGCAAATAACCTCAAGGTTCTGCCACCTGCAGACATAATCTTGCACGAGGATTCTCACGAAGGCACTACGCACGCTTGCTTTTGACTTTGTAGTCTCCACTCAGTATAAGCATTTTGCTGGGAAGGCAGGCGAGAGCTACAATTGCAAATGTGGCCTTGGAGATGGACAAACCCGGTTAAAATATCGGCTTGTTCTGATGCATGGGTGATGCGTGACAGACTCCCTAACATGTAAGACTTTCACAGGCTCCAGCTCCAATAGGAGAGTGGTGCCTACCTCAAAGGTACATCCTAAGAACTGCTTGAAAAGCCACAGTAGTGAAGTACCAGGCAAGCATCAGGCTTTCAAGGAATCTGTCTGTCATCGTTAGAAGAGTAGGGCTGTCTCCTGAATGAATGACTCTCTAAGGCAGGGAATTTGGAGTGGAGAGGACAAAGGGGACTCCCGGTACTCAGCAACAGAACTCAGGCACCGTGAAGGGGAAGTTGGGCATGTGTGTGCATACGCGTCTGTATTCATGTGTATGCTAAACTCGGTCCGTCCAGGCCTATGTATGGTAAAGTTACCATAAAAGAGCAAAAGTCAGTGATGATAATGGGGACTGAAAATGACCCTGGGGGCTAACGAGATGGCTAAGCAGGTAAAGGTGCTTGCTGCCAAGTCTGACAAACTGAGTTCGATCCTCAGAACATTATAAGATGGAGGGAAGAACTGATCCCTGTGACCTCCACGTGAGCACTGGGGCCACACACACCCCACCCCAGCACCCCCCAGCACACACACATTCACATATACACACACATACACACACATCTATATACACACTCACATATATACATACACACATATACACACTCATACACATATATACATACATACACATATACACACATATATACATACATGTACACACACACATACACACATGTACACACTCACACATATATACATACACACATACACACATACACACACACATATACACACACTCACACACACACACATACATACACACACACAGAGCAAAAATTGTTTAAAAAGAAGATGAAAAAGAAAGTCCCTGGACCACCTGTCTCAATCCCCACAGGATAACAACCACAAGAACCACTCTGGATGGACTGTGTGAGCTGGTTGAGCACACTCATTTATTCTCTCTCCTTAGCCTGGAAAGAAAAGGGGGTGAGAGCTATACTGACTACAAATAGGGCTAGGGAATGTCCTACCGGTCTTCTTGGTTTTATCTCAGGAGATGAAACCTGAGGTTGGGAAGAAAGAGCCTTGTAACAGAGGAGGTGGGCATGGCAGGCCGGTGTCTTGGCATATTAAGACGGCCATATGCATCTAGGGAGAGGCGCTATTACAAGCTCCTTTAATGAATGTGATTAAGTCGTTTGACCTTCCCGGTAGCCCCCTGGAGTAGATACTGTTATCACTCCCTTTCTCCAGATGAGGAAATGGAGGCACACAGCAGCTAAGACAGCTTTCCCAGAGTCAGACAATAGAGAACTACGTCCCAGAGGCCATGTTCTTATTAACCCCTGGGCCCCAGGCAGGTGAACTAGGGCCCAGGAGTGTGGGACAGTCCTCACATAGACACTCTGTCACCATTCTACTCACAGCCCTCGGTATTTTCCACTTTCGGCTGTAACAGACACTTCTGTGCATGTAGCTTTTCTCTCCTGTTTGAGTCACCTCCCCGAGACTGCCTCCTCCCGTGAGTGACCTGACTCTGTCGTCCTTGCTACACATTGTGCTGGCCAAACAGGAGGAGCCAGATTACAGCGTAGTCAGTCGAGTATGACTACCACCACCACAAGGAGCAAGCCAAGACGCATCTGTAGAAACAGACACCCGAGCCTACAGTGTTTGAACGTAGTCGACACATAGCTGGTTGGCAATCTGTGCCGTCCAGCATGGCAAATAGCCTTTCAGCCAGGGTTCTGAAACTCTCTCCTTGTTCAGGGCCTTTTTATTCAGCATCAGTTTAGCTGGAGTTGAACTCCCCGCCCCCCTCCATCATTCTAGGCCCTGGGCTTCCGGTCTATCTGGAACACCTGGGGGGGGCACATTTTTTTACTTCCTCCACAGTGTGTGTGCTAAATGCATAAGATGCTGGCCAAGGGTGTTGTTTTGCTTTCCTTTTCCTGTCTTCATAAAAATCAGTGGGATTCTAAAGCCAGACTAGCCGTCCTCTGGCTCACCGAAAGAGACTTCCGTTATCTCTATTTTGTCTGCAAAGTCCCTGGAAATCTCACCAGAATGAAAACTCCGAATCAGCTACTTTAGGGGGTGTCAAGGGAAGGACCCAAGAATCTAATAACTCCCTTCAGGGAGCTGCTGAAGGCAAAGCACCCTCTAGTCGAAGGTAAGCCAGGCAGCAAGCAAGCAATGCACCCAGGGTCCCCATTAGAGCCCCCCCGTTTCCACGTCTCCCACAGACGCCCCCCAGGACTGCAACCTCAGCTCTCCCTGTGCCTCAGTTCCTCCATCTGGGTTCCTCGGTTTTCATTCCCACCTTGACATTACCCAGCCCGCTCCCGTCATTTCCACAGAGCACTCGCTTCAACAAGCGGGTCGTGGGTTCAGAGAACGGACCGCCGACCCGGTCTAACCACTTGACATGCCGGACATCATCCGTCCTTCTGTGGGGGTCTGGTGGAGAGCCAGGGCTACTGCGCAAGTGCATGGAACGTGAACGTCACCCGGGCCGTCCGGGGTGATCGGGGATTCCCTCCAGGGAACCGTTTGCGGGTTGGCACCCAAGAGATGAGACAGGAGAGGGCAGACACGGCCCAGGCAAGGGGAGAAGGCAAGGCGGGAGGACCTGAGCAAGAAAGGGCACGGAGGTCAGAAGGGACCAGAAGAACAGAGATCTAGAGCTTCCCGAAGCAGCGCCGAGGCCCTCGCGCGCCGTGAGTGTGGGTGCTTCTCTGAGAGCGATGGCGCAAGCCCTCGTGGCTGGGATGGGACTGGAGTTTAGGAGCATCACCTCTGCCGGTGTGCAGAGATTAGCCTGGAGAGCCCAAGACCGAACACGGGGACATCAGGAACGAGCCTTGTGACAGTCTTGATGGTTAAAAATAAGCCTGGCCAGCGACGGCGGCGATGGGAAAGGAGATAATCAGGACGGATGTGGGAGGTGAAACGGGCCAGCTGGATGGGGGCAAGCGAGGAGACAGAGTGAGCAGATGTCCCAGCGGCTTACGTCACACGCCCGTCCGTCCTGTTTGTGCGTCTGTGGGTCCCCTGGGCTCGAGCTCACTCAGCTGGGCAAACTCGGGTAGGCGCCAAGCATCGCCCATCCAGGGATCCAGGTGGAAAGCTAACAGCCACCTCCAGCATCTCCAGCTTGCTCTTCTCACCGCAGATGGCAGGAGCGCCAGGGAAAGGCGCCGTGAGACCTCGGCACGGTACCAAGGGAGCCTGTTAGAAAAAAAAAACAAAAAAAAACGCCACGTGGCCATTCCCTTGTTCAAAGCAAGACCCAAAGAAGAGCCAAGTCCAAGCGACGCAGACAGAGATATGCTCTGTAAGCCGAAATGGTGAGGGACTCTGAGTCCTGCATAACAGTAGCATATTCTAGAATCCAGGAAGCCAGGCCAGCCCCCCGGAAGGCACCTGCTGAAGTAAAGAACACAGAAGAGGAAAGCCTTTCTAGGGAGGGTGGGAAAATGAAGACAGCCGTCTAGGGCACATTGGGCATATGACCAATGAGATGAGGTGTAAAACAAGGCATCTGGATAGATGGTCAGCTGGGCTCAGTGATGATGGGCTGAGATAGTCTTGATGAGTCATCAGCAGGCGGTTTGTCAGGAGAGGGGATGAGGTCATCCAGGGAGAATTTGCAGAGTTAGAAATGAAACAGGCCTAGCCCGGCAGAGTTTTGAATTCCAAAGTAAAGTTCTTGGGGGAAAAGACCTGCAAGAGAGACTAGGGATATTGCTCCTAGGGACTAAGGGTGGAGTATTCCGTGAGAGAGCAGTCAAGAAATTCAAGCGCTAAAACAAAGTTGGATGGTGTAGCAACCAGAGGCAAATTTCAGAGTCGTGGGGAGCCGTCAGCGACTATCTTTCTGCCTTGGGAGCCTATGCAGCTCAGAGGCTTTGCCCAGCACGCGTGACAAAGCTAGGCTGTAAGACAACAATAGGGGCTGGAGACCCAGGCTCAGCAGTTAAGAGCACTTAATGCTCTTCTAGATGGTCTAAGTTTGATTCCCAGGTCAGACAGCTCATAACCACCTGTAACTCCAGCTACAGGGAGAGGCCACAGGACATCTGTGAGCATATCAAGACATGCGTGGGTGAGCACACATGCACTCTCACACACACACACACACACACATGCACATACATACATACACACACACATGTGCGGTGCGTGCACACATGCACGCACATGCATACACACACACCTTTTTTAAAAGACAGTAAATGTCACACACGTGCATGCACACATGCACACATGCACACACACACACACACACACACACACACACACACACCTTTTTTTTAAGACAGCAAATGTGGAAAACACCTTCAAAGAAACTCAGCAGCCTGCCCGACCCTTGTAACTAGGCTTCAGGGAGTGAGGATGGATCAGGAATCCAGGACAATTACTTCTTCCACAGTGCAGATTAGCCCGGCTAGAATTCGAGGACTCCAGGAAAAACACTTGACCAAGCTCAGGATGGCTGGGTCCCTTCCAAGCGCTATTCAAGTAACACCATGTTCACTGGTGAATAACGCGCAAACCCTAAGCGCACTTCTGAGCGCCACGTCTTCACCAGGTGAGCGCTGGTCTGCAAGCAGCAGCATCCTCAAAGCCCCCCCCCGTCTGTCTCTGCCCCACCTGCTGACACCCTGAACCCCAAAAGTTGGGAGCCAGGGAACTTTCTGTCTAGAAATTTCCCAACTCAGAAACACACTCTACCCCTCACAGGCACCCCTCCCTGCTCACCCTTCCTCAGCTCACCAGTGCTTCTATCTGCTCTCCCTTAGGGGCGTCAAGCATCCTATGCTGTACCAGGGGGCAGGGAGGGACTGTGAAGGACAGTGACACCAGACGTTGAGCTAAAAATTCAGGCACGTCCACGGGCAGTCGGCATCCAGTGTGGCGACCCTGACGTTGGAGCAGTGCTGGGCCTGGGGGAGAGGGCGTGTGCTTGCCCAGTCAGGAGGCGGCACTTGGGGAAGTAATTGAAACTGTGTGGGCGGGATCCACAGGATGAGACGGAATTCAACCGGCTTTCTCCGTGTTCCATTAGGGACCTCTATGGATGAACCTGACAGCTCGTAGCTTATCATCTTAGGAGTAAAAGCCTCGGCCCTTGCTTTCAAGAAAACAACTTAGTAACTCATGCGGCAACGTTTCAGCTCAACAGTAGAGGGCACCAAAGACTTGTGTTCTGTGCTAAAGTCATGCACACCCCACACATACAAGCCTCCCCCCCCAACCAGTCCATGAAAGTTCTCAGACAAATGAGGAAGCAGATGAAAACCCAGGGTATGGTCAGAGTCACGCATTTCAATAGCAGAGGGAATCCCAGCACTTGGGAGGCAGAGGCAGGCGGATCTCTATGAGTTGGAGGCCAGCCTGGTCTACAAGAGCTAGTCCCAGGACAGCCTCCAAAGCCACAGAGAAACCCTGTCTTGAAAAACCAAAAAAAAAAAAAAAAAAAAAAAAGCAGAGGGAGCCTGGTCCACCAGGCTCGTTCACACATTTACCCCATAACTGCTCTCAATTTTCCAAAAACTCTCAATTCTTAAAATCCAGATGTTTCATGCATCTCTCTCTTTTTTTTTAAAGATTTATTTATTATGCATACAGTGTTCTGGCATGCATGCCAGAAGAGGGCACTAGATCTCATTACAGATGGTTGTGAGCCACCATGTAGTTGCTGGGAATTGAACTCAGGACCTCTGGAAGACTAGCCAGTGCTCTTAACGTCTGAGCCATATCTCCAGCCCCTCATGCATCTCTTTTTAAGTTTCCTTTTCTCCTGTCCTTTGAGGTGGTAAAGGGGAAATGAGCCACGGTGTAGAGGCGTAGCTAAGCATAAACGTCTTACAAATAAAACACGACGGTATCTTCCCTTTCTTCCTGCCTCTGAGTGACATTGGTGACTCGGAAGCATGGGTGTCTCGGTTTCCGTGGAAGCCCTTCCTCTTCTTGGTATGGTCGCAGATTCATTTCTTCAAGCCTTTGGACCCGACTGTAAAACCAGGAGCTGTTCACATCACATCACCTCCAAGACCCACAGCAGGGTTAAGAGAATGGTGGAAACTTGTTCCCAACAGTCCCTGGCTTGGCTTGGAGCAGGTGTTCCATGAGGCGATATTCCCGTCGGCGGTTTCTGACCCATGTGGTCCTCTGTGCCAGCTCTGTCGTAAATGGTGTGGGTCCTTCTCTGTGTCAAGCCACAGTCATCTCATTCTTCAAACAACGATGACATCATCACTGTTTTTTGTTGGGTGATTGGTTGGTTCTCTGCGTAACAGCTCTCATACCCTCATGGCTATTCTTTTTACGTCTACTGCTAAAACGACTTATTTTAGTTCAGCAAAACAGACATGTTCCACTGCCTTACTATGCTCTGGGCACAGTGCCGGGTCGTAGAGAGAAATGGACAAGTGGGCCAGAGACAAATGTCCAAGAGTCTATCAACCAAGGGTGCCGCGTAAACTCGTGGCTGTGACAAATTATCAGAGACCATGTAAAAAGGGCCTGTGGCTGCAGACATGTAATACCAACGACTCCCGGAGGATCACAAGTTCGGAGCCAGTCTCAACAACTTAGGGGTGAGGCGGGGCGGGGCGGAGCGGGACGGGGCAGGGGGTGTTGTTCAATACAGAGTGCTTGCCTTCCATGGCTCCAATCCCCAGGCTTGTCAGTGAGACAGAAAAAGAAAGCACTAGAAAAACACAAGTCAGAGGGTCGCAAGGCCACTGCTCCTCCTAGTGTTTCCTTTTTCAGTGGAGGAGGTGAAATCCTATTGTCCTTTGAGGGATAAAGGTGGGGAGGAGGACTGGAAAAATGACTCGGTGGTTAAGAGCTCTGGCTGCTCTTCCAAAGGACATGGGTTCGATTCCCAGCACCCACATAGCAGTTCACAACTGTTCATATCTCCTGTCACAGGGGATCTGACACCCTCACACAGAATTATTATATTCAGTCAAAACACCAATGTGTGTAAAATGCAAATAAATACATTTTTTAAAAAAAGAGTTTGCCAGGTTCTCCCTCCCTTAAAGCCAGCAGAGGTAGCTCATAGCCTCAGGAATCCTCCCTGACCCATCTAGGGCACATATCAGACAGAACTGTTATCTTCACCCGAGGGCTCCCAGGCCCCATGATGCCACACCTCCTTGTTTTCCCTCAGATGCTCCTCCTCCTGGGAGCCATCAGGGACTGCCTAGGTAGGCCAGTAGACTTCCGGGCTCCTTGAAAAGGAAGCCAACTGGAAGACAGTGGGGGTGCCCAACCAACACAGGCAACCTAGCGGTGGAGTACTGCACAGTCCAACAGTCAGCCGTCCCCTCCCTTGCCCACCACTGATGGGGGAGTTATGCGGTAGGTACCCTAGCGCATCCCCTCCTCCGCTGAGTGCCCCTCCCCCCCCACTCTCCTGCATCCTGCCTCCCAAGGAAGCTGTGTTTGTGTGTTTCTCTGTCCCCAGATCCCGGCACAAAGCCATGATGGGGAGAGAGGACCTCACTCCGTCAGTGTTTGCTAAATCGAATTGAACGGAGCTGCACCCAAGCCCAGAAATTATTGACCTTTCCAGGCAATGTTTTTTGTTTTCCTAGCTTTGCAGGAAGCACGGGGCACACTCGGAGAGAGGGCTAAACAGGTTTAAAGAAAACGAAGACGCGAAAGTGTGTGTCGGGCATCTGCAGGCAGGGAAAGCAGTGCCTCTCCCAGACTTAGAGAAGAGAGAAGGAGCTTGGGAAGAACTTGGCAGACAGCAGACTTTGAGAGGAGCTGAGAACCGGGTGCAGCCACCTGCCGGAAGTCAGCTAGGGGGCGGGGCGAAGCAAAGATCCATTCCGACTTCTCCCTTCCCTGCTGATGCTGTCTCTCCGTGATTGGAAACACACGGAAGTATAAGTAGCCCGGAGTACAAGCCACCAAAGGCAACTTCTCTGGGCTCAAAGCAAAAAAATAAAATAAAATAAAAAAAATCAAAAACACATCTGGACAGGCGAACGAGGGACGCCCAGCACTAGCGAGTGGCTTCCCCCCCAAACAACCTCCACTTTGCATCGGCACCAGACTGCTTCAGAAGCTAATTTCTCTTTTGTGTTTATTTGGTTGTTTGGTTGGTTTTGAGACAGGGTCTATCTATGTAGCCCTGGTTGTCCTTGAACTTGCTCTGTAGATACACCTGCCTCTGCCCACTGAGTGCTGGGGGGGTTAAAGGAGTGTGCCACCACGCCCTGCCACCTTACATGGTCGTCTGTGGTCCTACGGTAGTCGGTGACGTCAACTCAATAGAATCTAGACTTCGCCTAGGAGACGGGCCTCTGGACATGCCTACAGGGATTGTCTTGAACCAAAACTACCTTACGCTAATTTTGCCAGGGTACTTTATCACAGCAACAAAGAACTAAGACGCACCCCTCCTAATAGACCCCGATCCCTCAATATCGAATTTGCCTCTACACCCTGATGCATACAGAGTATCTTCTAGTCACCCTGGGTAGAGTGGATGGGCAAGGGGACAGATAAGCCAAATTAATCGTAGTCGCTTTTTGCATGGGGGGGCGGGCGGGGGGGGGACCATCCAGGAGACGATGTGGGGCAGACTGTCTCATTAGACTCACCAATTTAACAGGAGGTAAGTCAGATTTTACCAATGGAACAGTACACCAGATCATCCCCTGTGTTCTGCGCCCACACATCAGTCAAGAACAGTGTTGGGCTGGAGAGAGGAACCAATGGTTGAATAAGTCCTCTCTTGCGGAGGACCAGAGTTCAGCTCCCACCCGTCCGTGGGGCAACCACCCCCAGTTGCAGCAGCTCTGACGCCAATGGCCTCTTCCAGGCCGCAGGGTGAAGACTCTCTGATTTCTTAGGGGCTGGTGAAACAGCTGTATGAAATGCTTTTTTTTTTTTTTTTTTTTTTTTTGGTTTTACGAGACAGGGTTTCTCTGTATTGTTTTGGAGGCTGTCGGTCCAGCCCAGCCTCGAACTCACAGAGATCCGCCTGCCTCTGCCTCCCGAGTGCTGGGATTAAAGGCGTGTGCCACCAATGCCCAGCTTATGATGGACTTCTTATATGGAATTCTTTCTCATACAGGAGAACTATGAGAACCATCCTGGTGCAAGCCAAGTCCTTCTGGACCACCAGTGCTTCCAATTCAGGGCCGTACCGAGCTCTTTATTTTAGCCTACCAACCAGTTCCCAAACCACGACACAGAGACTTATTATTAGCTCTGAATGCTCAGCCTAGCTTAGGTAAGTTTCTGGCTAGCTCTTTTAACTTAAATTAACCTGTTTCTCTTTATCAACCTTTTGCCTCAGGGGCTTTTTACCTTCTTTCTGGGTGTCTTACCCGGTGTTTGCTGGCTGGCTGCTCTCTGGCATCTGGACCCGGGGAACCTCCCTTGTTCTCTTCTCCTCCTCCTCCTCCTCCTCCTCCTCCTCCTCCTCCTCCTCCTCCTTCTCCTCCTTCTCCTCCTTTTCCTCCTTCTCCTCCTTCTCTCGTTCCTCCTTCAGAGCTCAGGTTTCTCCTATTTATTCTCTCTGCCCACGACAGCCTCACCTGTCCCTCTTCTGCCCAGCTATTGGCCATTCAGCTCTTTTTCAGACCAATCAGGCGCCTTAGGCAGGCGAGGTGAAACAGATGCAGCATGCCCTTGCATAATTAAACACACACCCTTAAGTCATTAAGCAAATACAGTGTAAACAAATGCAGCACACTTTTATGTAGTTAAAGTAATTTCCACAGCACGGGGCTGTCATGTAGAGCTCTCAGAAGAGAGGATTAATATCCTTTGTGTGGGCCACCTCTTGTGTCAAGGCTGAATAAGAAGCCACTCCCAGAATTCAACATCCCGAGACAACCGTAAGCTTGCATTTTGCTTGTGCTTTGCATTTTCCCTCCTTCCTCTGGGACAGTCTTTTCTGCAGCGGAGGGGCAAGTACACGCGGTGAGCACAACCACACCAGCCCATCTCAAGTCCCCGTCACATCCCAGCTTCTGACACGCCCATGCAACTCCAGAGTCTAGCAGAGGGAAGCCACTCTACTTTACATGGAAGAGACTATAAAGCCACATGGTAAAAAGCATGGTTACAGAGGAGCCAAGGGGATACACAACTGATCACCTCCCTCATTTCTCAGGGAGCAGACACCAATGACTTCACTCTCCTCTCCTCACCTATAGACTCCAAGAAACCAAGGTCTCCCGTGGATCCCTGGAACCCACAGCAGCACATGGCATATTGTTATTGCTAACCAGTAATTATCGAACGAACAGATGAGGAAATAGCCTTCTCTGCCTCTCCCTCAGGTTCTCCCTGACCAAAGATGACATCTTCAAATTAGGTGGCTCTGTGGCTTTGAAATATGACAGTTTGGGCCACTGGACAGCATCATGCAGAAGTGTCACCATTTCAAAAGCACGCTTTGGCATGTTGCCCGTATGTGAAGAGGCGTGGGGGTGGGTAGAGACTGGTAGATGAGCTGGGAGTTTGCTCTCAAGAGGACAAGGAAGAGAGAACATAGGTCTAGGAGCAGACGTGGTGCCTAGGAAGGGATGGGAAGAATTGTGCGAGCTGGAAGGAGAGCACACATCATTTTTTTCTGGGGTGTAGAATCAGCATGTGGGGCTTGGAGTCTGGGCGCCCGGGAAAACAGCCAACAGATAAGGAGTCACTTTTTTGTGGGACAGAACTTACCTGCCGGTTTGAGGCGTTCATGGCGCATTCAGCCAGAGGGTCTAGCAGACACCAACACTTCCTAAAGCGTCCTTCAGAAACCATTCTTCATTAGTATCTCAGTTCAGCCATCCGTATCCATGACATTAGCATGTAAGACCCACGTAGGCAAACTCTCCCACAGCTGCTGGACGGCCCCACCAGCCAACTGTCAGGCAAGTAGCTTTCGGGTGCAAGAAGCACAAAAGCGAGGCTGGAGAGACGTCTCAGTGGTTAACGACACTGACTTCTCTTCAAGAGCTCCCCCCCCCAACCCCCGTTTGCCAGGTGTTGGTGGTGCACGCCTTTAATCTTAGCACTCAGGAGGCAGAGGCCAGGAGGATCTCAGGTGAGACCAGCCTGGCCTACAGAGCGAGTTCCAGGGCAGCCAAGGATATACAGAGAAGCCCTGTCTCAAAAAAAAAATCTAAAATAAATAAATGAATGAATGAATAAATAAAAAAGAGGACCCCAGGGCTGGAGAGATGGCTCAGACGTTAAGAGCACTAGCTGCTCTTTCAGAGGTCCTGAAGTTCAATTCCCAGCAACCGAATGGTGGCTCACAATCATCCATAATGAGATCTGGTGCCCTCTTCTGGTGTGCAGACACACATGAAGCAAGATGTTGTATTCATAATGAATAAGTAAATCTTTAAATTAAAAAAAAAGAGGGCCCTGGTTCAATTCCCAGCACCCACATGGCAGCTTACAACCGTTTGTAACTACAGCTCCAGGGGATCTGACACCTTCACACAGACACAGACATACACACAGGCAAAACGCCAACACACATAAAATTTAAAAATCAACAAAATTGAAAAAGAAGCATTCACGCGTGCACACACACACATACACACACACACACACAATAAAAATGAGTTACCACTGCTTCAGGGGAGAGTCTCTGCCTCCATCTCTGTCTCTGTCTCTAGATGGCCCAGGGACACTGACACAGACAGCGGAAGGACCATACCAAACCAATTTTCCAATAACTCTGCTTTTGAGCCTCCTGGAAAACCACTTACACTAGCCCCTGGCCTTCACCAAGTCAGGGAGCCATGGGCGAGATTGTTAAGGAGATCTGGGTAAAACTGGTCCGTCAGGGAGGATGCCTGGATGCCGTTTCTTTGGGTCTGGTTGCATGATGGATACCATTCCAGGCTTGGGGATGTGCTAGTAAGACCAATAACGGAGCTCCCCTAAAGAAACATGCTTTGTCTCAGCTCCTTTAGGTAGGATTCGAGAGTTAAAATAGTAAGGGAGGGGCGGGAGTGTCACCGGAATGGGAGAAGGGTCGCAGGGATGGGGGCGTTGACAGAAAACAGAACCACGAAACCCAACTTGCTTGAAAATTCTGTAACAGTATCCAAGACACTGTATGCCTGTTTTAAAAAGTCAAAATAGTAGCAAGGGGCTGTTGTAGGGCTATGGGAGGCAATGTTGTGCTGGGGCTGGGGTCCCTTTCTCTGACTGCCTTAGATACGTGGCTGGCCACAAAAACCCCTTGGAAATACAGGGCCTGGAAGGGGTTTTGTTGTTGTTGTTCTGGTTTGGTTTTGGTTTTTCGAGACAGGGTTTCTCTGTGGCTTTGGAGGCTGTCCTGGAACTTGCTCTTGTAGACCAGGCTGGTCTCGAACTCGCAGAGATCCCCCCTGCCTCTGCCTCCCGAGTGCTGGGATTCAAGGTGTGGGCCACCAACGCCCGGCCACGGGTTTCTTTTTCTTTTTTTTATTTCTTACCATCCAGCCTACGTGCAGGCAGCTCTAGCAATTCTGCTTCATGTTCAGCTAAAACTTGCACGGCCAGACCCCTCCCCACAGAGAAGTGAATCTTGGCGTTGGGGATGGGGTCCAGGGCCTCCTGCATGCTAATCACATCACATGCTAAGCACATGCTCTGCTAAGCACATGCTCCGCTAAGCACATGCTCCCTCCGCTAAGCAGGCCATCAGCGCCACTCTAGGCTTCTTGTCTGGTTAATGGTCTGGGGGAGGGGAGGAGAGGGTTCTACCAGGGCCTGCACAAACAAGCAGAGGTCCACCTAGTCCTGCAGGGAAGTTGCAGTGGTGCCAACACACCAGGGGGCCACTTCTCTGCATGCCACTGCCACTGCCATGCATCCAGTTAGTCTTGGCAGGCACCTGCCCTAGGGATTCTCTTGTGTGTCCCCTGTCTTTCCTTTGGGATCCGGTATGAATTTCCACAGGAAGGAATCCAGGTGACATGCTAGGATCTCCTTCTCACTCGTGGGACGTAAGAATCCTGGCTGGGCTGTTGTCAGGTAGCCACTGGAGCTCCCAAAGGACCATCAGGAGATGCTGGCCGGTGCTCTTGCCCGCCCGCGTTAAAGACATACTCCCATATGTTTTGTGCGCATGTTCCTGGGGACAAAGGTGAAGTTTCATGGGGGGGGGAATCTTTTAAAATTTTTGTTTTGTTTTGAGGCGGGGAGGGAGAGGGACGATGCTGGTGCCCCCATGGCGATCTCTCTGTGCTGTGGGCTCTGGGGCCGGAAGTCAGGTCTCAGGCTCGGCAAGAAGCGCCTTCCCCGGCTGAGCCTCCATGCCGGTCCTCTTGTAGACATTCTTACCTTGCGCAACTATCTTTGTTTACTACGCGGCGCTGTGAGCGCAGCTTTGCTGTGTTGTGAGGCTAAACTGTACCACTAGAAACGTCCCATGCCATGACAACCCCTGCCAATAACCGGGTTACACAATAAGCAAGGAGCCGCGCTATTTTGATCTCCCGTTAGTCACTTGGCCTGTATTTCTATTAGCAGCCATGCTACCATGACTCATTTCAGAGAGGAAGTCTTGGTCCTCACTTGGGTGTTTTTTTCCCCCTTGAATGGATTGAGTCCATGCTTTTTACCCCTGTTCGCACTGGGGTGTTCAAGGTTGCGTCCATGTTTCCTAGCAAATGGCTGAAGAGACAGTTTTCTCCCACATGAGTCGCTCCCATGCCCTCCCTCTGTTCCATGAGCAAAAGCTGGCCTGGCAGAGACGCGCCTTTCAGAATGGGCCCATTTCCTCTTGTTTGGTTTCCTCTCAGTTGACAGCCCCCCGTCTGTCCCTGTTTCCCACAAGGGCACGCACTACAGCCTGGCTGGGTTGGCTTTTTCCTAATTTTACCACAACCGGAGAAAGCTGTACATGTTCCCACGGCCGCCCCTTTTGTCCAAACTATGGAAAGCTGGCCTTTTTTTTCTTTTCCTCATAACTGGCATGGGCTGTGTTTAGGTCAAGAGCCCAACACAAACTACAAAGAGTGACCTCAACCCAGGGAACTTGAGAAACATCTAGATAACACTGTTAGAAAATCATTCCCTCACATGAACTGGCATTTGAAATATGTGCTGGTTTTGTGTATATTTTTTTTTTAGATCACTCAAGCTAGCGTAATGGGAAAAAAAACTTCATCAGTTTTCATAAGCCAACAGACTTAGCTTAGGGCTGGGGATATAGCTCAGTTGATAGAGCAATGACCTAGCTTACAGGTCCCAGGTTTGCTCCCAAACACTGCATAAACCAAGCATGGTCTTTCAAACCTGTGATCTCAGAACATGGAAAGTAGAGGCAGGAGGATTAGAAATCCAAGGTCACCATTGGCTACATCATATGTTTAAGGGCAGCTTGAAAGTTATGAGGCCCTATCCCCAAAACAAACAAAATTGGTTTGACTTGAGTGTGTTAATAAGGTACTCTAGAGCTGTGAGCATAGTTCAGTGGCTGTGGGCATAGTTCAGTAGCTGTGGGCTTAGTTCAGTGGCTGTGAGCATAGTTCAGTAGACTTTGGGCATAGTTCAGTGGCTGTGGGCATAGTTCAGTGGCTGTGGGCATAGTTCAGTGGCTGTGGGCATAGTTCAGTGGCTGTGGGCTTAGTTCAGTGGCTGTGAGCATAGTTCAGTAGACTTTGAGCATAGTTCAGTAGACTTTGGGCATAGTTCACTGGCTATGGGCATAGTTTACTGGCTATGGGCATAGTTTACTGGCTATGGGCATAGTTCACTGGCTATGGGCATAGTTCAGTGGCTGTGGGCATAGTTCAGTGGTTGTGAGCATAGTTCAATGACTATCAGCATAGCTCAGTGGCTATGGGCATAGTTCAGTGACTTTGGGCATAGTTCAGTGACTTTGGGCATAGTTCAATGGCTGTAAGCATAGTTCAGTAGATTTTGGGCATAGTTCAGTGGCTATGAGCATAGTTCAGTGGCTGTGGGCATAGTTAAGTGGTAGAGAACTTTTTTAGCATGCCAAGATCAAGGGTTCAGTCTTCAGCACCAAACAAAATAAGTAAACAAAAATAAGGCAACTGAGGGTTGAAGAGACGGCTCAGCGGTTGAAAGCAAGGACTGCTCTTTCAGAGAAACCAAGTCTGGTTCCTAACACGTCAGGTGGCTCACAACCAGCAGTAACTCCGCGCTTCTGACCTCCAAGTGTGCCTGCACTCATGTACATGCACATGTATATGTGTGTACACACACATACATACACACACACACTTAAATCTCTATAAAAATAAGGCCAACCAATTAAAACCCATTCATTCACTTGTCACTCTCAGTAACAGATTCGATCTTGGCCTCGAGTATAAGAAGGAAGGAAGTGAGAGAGTTCACAGTTGGGATGACAGATTTGTACAAATGAATATAACGTGTGAATCTGAGGGAATACAAATGAGGGAGGAGGGGGGGTCCCTCCACCTGCCTGTGCGAAGAAAGCTGGTTACTACAGACGGCACAACACTACAGAGACCTAAGGGCTGCCGGAGTGCTCATCCGATAGTGTGAAGATGAAACATTGTCACAGGGGCTGACAGAGTTGGGCAGCTTCCCTGCGGCTGAGACTGTGCTCGATGCTAGATTGCAGCGGAACTGAAACCAGGAGACAGAGGGATTTTCACCTTCTCGTTATTACCTGTTGATTTCCATGAGGGAGTTTTACTGGCTGCGTTATTGTCTGTCCTTCTGCCTGAAAGTGGAGGGTTACTGGCCCCTGGTAGCTGGTTTGGAAACAGCTTACTCAGCAATACGGGGAGACAACGAAAGGGTGTGGCCTTCACCTGCTGGTGACTCTGTTGCGGAGAAAGGGGATGGGGCTTTGCTTCACACAGGCGAGACATTGAGAGCGGTCAGGGCACCCAG